AAAAAAGTGACACAAAATCGCCAATTTCCCTTGCATCTCGAGGCCAAAGTTCAAAGCCGTCTTCGCCTTCAAGTGTTGCTCAAGACTCCTACAAAACACTGATATTATCACAAACAGTCGAGCGTCCCGTACTAAAACATTCGCAGCTTCGTGCCCATACCGAAATTGCTTCTACTATTTATCCAAAACGGGTTCATCATCCACACGATAAAAGTGCTTGGAATCAATGTTTTCGGCTTCCTGCCGCTCCATGATTCATGTCATTCCAACCAGGATGCGTTCGCAGATTGGAGTGAGGTCTAGACTAAACACTAATCCAAGCTTTCAAAATCGTAAAATTTATATACTTGTGGTGTTGCAACATCGAAGATAAAATCTTGATGCGCTTGGACTATAATGAGCAGTAGGTCACATCTAATTTTGCACGTGGCATGTGCGATGCATGTAAACAAAGGCAAGATTGTCGAGAAAACAAAATTGAGTTAGGGGGACATTTATCGTGCTGCGTCTTGTCGAAGGAATCACCTGTCACCGTAGCGATCAAGTAGTTGTCCAATGCAGCCGAAGCATTGGCAGTTATGACATTTGTTGTGATGTCAAAGAAAGAATGTATTCGAGTTACTATACCGCCAGTCGTGCTGTTCTGCAGCAAGTCCTAATATTTGCGCTGGGATAGTGGTTGTTATTAGCTTGCTTAGAGCGTTTCGTATTAAGCTTTTCCAAAAGGGGCTGCTTTACCGTCTCTGACATTAACAGGCTGAGCACTTAAGGCAAACACATTAGGGGGAAGTCAGTTGTATTATTACTGACGACGTTCCTGGTGATATTTGCCAATAAACGTATCTTGGCGGATGATAACCAATTCCGACTCTTGAGCAGCCAACATACTTATTTCTGTGTGATCGAGGATCTACAGGAGGTTTTTAAGCGTGCCTAGTTGTTTCGTTAACAGACAATCAAATAATTTGCTAATCTAACGAACGACATAGTTTAATCAGACCTGTTTCTTGGATTGATAGAAATGGAACAAGGTTGCCGTGCAACTTACGAACATTTCTGACTTGAGATCCTGCGCAAATAACGCGCGTGTGTAGGGTTTGCACGCTAGCACGCCATGATGAATTTAAACAGTTGCTATAAGTGCTCTTTTACGCAAAAGTGACATACATATATCAAACCTGGTCAAACAAAAAATAGTGCCAACTGTATCGGTTTTATCAAGTCCAATAAGTCCAATTGTTTAAGAAGTTGTTCTGGATGATGTGGAGGTCAAGCCTCGTGTGTACGAAGTTATCAATACCTGTAATCGAATACTCCTAAGGTTTACACATGTGTGTAACGAGTGTATATATCGAAATGCTATGTGCATCCCGTTGCAAATTTACACAATCCTGAAATTCCAACTGTTTGCGTCTACTGAAAGTTGCGGCTGACTGGCATTATTACTATTGCACACTCCTTGAATGAGCAAAAATCGCTGTCATCTAACTCTCGCCCAGAAGAATATGCATCACCGATATAGTGCAAACCATGCCGGCCTTGTAGGCGACCGGCTGAGTTCCACATGTCAACATTCTGCACATCGCCAAACTAAAACACTAGTGTCTTGGATTGTGAGAGGCAAAAGGAAGGGAACATGCATTAAAATAGTCGAGCTGAAACTTGGATTTTTGTAGGAATTTTTTTTTACAATACTTAGCCCTACTGTTGCTTTCCAGCAAGAAATGGATGAGCTACACATTTACTATTACAGCGAAGCGAGAATTCGGATGAATAGCTTTAGCTTATTTAGTGGATTTGAAGCTGCAAAGCAACGATACGTGTTGCAAAGATCTTTGGTCAGGTCACAAGAATCAACTAGCACTTTCTCATCCAGTGCGCAACGTCTGTTAGGTTGGAATGTACAGTTGTTACTTACTCGTACAAAATTAGGTTGCAGCTATAATTTCCATTAACACCAACTTTGAGATCAATCGGCTGATTCAAGACAGTGAATCATTCGGTGATGCATACTTGCTGGAGCTCTACGAGCTCATGGCTATTCAGGTCTTTTGCTGATGTGCTTATCGCTGCAGAAGACTAGTGGAGCCGCAATTTGGTCAGATGACAAGTCTTTTTCACATTTCGCATATTCAGTGTCGTATGTGTGGAGTCGCGTAAAATCGAGTCTTATCTGTCATGACAGTCAATTTCAAGCATGGTTGCCTGCGAAAATATGATGCGACAGCTGACCAAGTCTTATAATTAATATTTATCAGCGGGTAAACAGATCAGAGTTAGATTGTAATGTAGCCTAATGCTGCACTTTGTGAAGTACAAAGCGCAACGTCGACGCCGAGGCGGACACTCGACTTCGCCTTCAGTATCGTGTCGACAACGGCCCTGCTTATCCCCACAAACATTTTGTTATGGTCAGGTCTCGAATTTATGAAGGTGGAGCCTACCCGTAAGTACAAATAGGATAGCGTTGAACGACACTGTCTCTAACCCATCAAAGTATAGATTGAGGATATGCCGATTCGTAAGCAACTACAATACCTAGGCAATCTTGATGGGGTGAAACCACCATTGAGATTAGATACTTGCTTTGCCTCAGTAAATGCAGCGAGCTTCATTTCATTCCAAATGAAAGTGGGCTTACTCATCGAACAACGCCATAATAGGAAGACTCTCATGAAGACAGTTTCATAAACTTTCAAATTTGCAGCAACGCGTCAAAATTGCGTGGTCTCCTCCTGTGTCAGCATGAAGGCTCTATCAGACATACTTGCACAGCTAAACGATTGGGTTGATTGTTTATCTGTACCCCAAGCGGCTCAAAACAGAAATACCATAGAGCTCAAGAAAGCTCAGCTTCGGGGTCGAACACGATATTCTGCATTGCAGAAAAATATTATAATCTCAGCATCAAGTATCTGTAGCAATTTGGTTGGGATTTGCAATACGCCATGTGCCCGACCCCTTTATAAAAAAGAGATCGTGCTGCGGCTATAGCAGTGCCATATATATATATCGGTATGTGTTTGAGTTGTCTTTAGGATGGTAAACATACAACTCAATTTTTCTGGCGATTGTTGTCAACGGCCTTAGGGCAAGAGATACCTATGCTTACGAGCGTTTGACTAAAGCCGCATTGGGTTTCAAAAATCCTTACTTCCGACAGCTGACAATTTGTGTTTTTTGTGACTAATTCATACAGAGTAAATATATCATCGTTAGTGCGTGACGTCACTATTATACCATTTGGCAGGTCGTAGTCTGGGCAGCGCAAAAGCGCATTCACCACCACGTTGGGTCGGTTATATTTTGATTCAAAGTTATTTGAGCGATGAAGGATAACGATCTTGCCATGCTTCGTAAGAGACGTTTCGACGATGTCACTGTGTCATGAGCTGACGAGTGCATAATACATAGCAAATAGCTTGCTTCCATGAGGTAAAAATGTCTTTATTGCTTTCAGCCTGCGAGATTCAGATGCAATGACGTGATCAAGCCCATTGGCATCCGCTTGAAGTAGGACATAACTTATGGCAAAGCTAAAGCGTCATGGATGGCGTCGAATTTTGTGAGAAGTCCGGAAATCAAAAATAGAGGCGCTCATGAGACTAACTTCCACAGTCTTAAATATTCGCCTCTTCCGACGAAATCACATATCAGTTTTAAAACGGTGAGGAGCGGTGTCTTGCTGGCATATTTTGAATTCAATTCAAAGAGCTTCCTTTCATTATTGGGGGTCTTGACCCAGACTAATTTGCAATGGCCTTGGTCCGCGCACTTGCTGGCCGGCCATTAGCCTTATGTTGTTGGTGCATTGATAGCCACAACGACGTACCCACCCACACCCAGAGCGTCCCACTCGGATTTCTCAGAGCAGTGTTTAAAAAAAGCCACTGTCGTGAGAGACTAAAGATCTTAACAATCAGATCGTGTGTCATATCACGGTGTTGAGATGACACCGCTCAGTACCGTGAAAATGAAATTGCACTATATTCCTTTTCCATGCATTAGATTTAGAAGTGTTCGTACAGAAATCCAACTTAAGACAGCCTAGCGGATAAGGTATGGTGGTTTCACTTTCGTGATAAGGGTTCGAATATCCCCCTTCCAAAAAGAAAGTTTAACATATGGTGTTTAAAGCTACTGTGGGGTACATTCGTCATCTTGATCATTTTGATTGTTTACAAACCGGATCGTACATTGTTACGGCAGAGAAATTTGGCATGTTGGAAAAAAGGCTTTGGATAATAATGGTTTTTACTTCGGATTTCCCTGTCATATTATTGGCAAAATCATATTCTGATCTGCACCACAACTTCTACGGAAATGCTGTTTGCGTCGCTTTATGGTGCATTGAGAATTCAGAAAGCATGCAAGATTTGCCACTTGACACTGACCTTTTGCAGAATGTCAAGGTCAAGTGAGGCCATTTACATTTTCTCTCACCAATTGCCAAACCCGCTCCCATCTCTACACGAAATATATCCAATGACGGCGCGCTGTAGCTTTGATGAAGCCCGTTAGTGTGTTACGCAATAAATACTTGCGGGATTCAGATCAATTTAATGGTGCTTCCGATTCGAGGACAAGATTCGCGATAGATCTCTAGTAACCGCGTTTTGGTGTCATTATACTCAAGATTTCAGGGATCAGTAGGACCCTTGAGTATACTTACTACACTCATCACACTCACTGCCTTCGAGTGCCCTTAACGACGATCTCATCTCTAGAGAAGAATAATCCCAGTTTCTTCTTCATTACAAATAAAATAGTACCGATTAGGTGAGATCACTTACTTGCAAGGATATATGAAGATTTCTAGGAATGACATCTCAAGCTCTATTAGTGATTCTGGTATAGCAAGTGTAATGTAGTAAGTAAACATGCCAACACAAAACATGAGACTTCAATGTTTGACGATTGACACACCGCTTGCTGTCACTGAAATAGCTATATCATCGCATCGTTACAAGTGCTGCCTCATTCGTCTAATTCATAACAACGCCTCGTGACGGTCTGTCTCCACAACAAGGACCGTGCCTTCGAGCCTCTCTACCGAGTTAAACTTGAATACTGCGACAAACAGTCGCACATTTTCTGTGTCCACTTGAGGTACCTTAGTCGACAGCTTTTATATTTGTCTCAACAGGATTTTGAACCTGGCAAATCCTTTTTCCTCAGACTTACACTTTAAAAAA